TACCAGAAAAAAAAAAAAAAAATCCTACTGATGTTTTGATACATGGGGTCATCCGATGCCGAAAAGCCAGAATTTCTCTGCTGAGAGGTTTCAAACTGTCGGTGAAGCAACCTCTCTCTGCTCTGTCACGTTTCATGCGTAATCACAAATGCGACCTCCTAACACCCCACTTACATTTTCTTTTCTCTAATTTTTACCATTGCATTTGCCACTGACTTTTGAAAAAAAGAGCTTTGACCAACGATTTTATTTTCTTTGAAATTTATAAAATTCAACATAATTTCTCAAGAAAATATTTCGACAATAACTTTAATAACTTGGCCAAACGGTTTAATTTGATTATTTGAAAGTCTAGTTTTCTAGCGTAGAAAATTCATTTCGTTGCTATTTTTTTTTTCTGCAAAATTTATTGATCTTAAATGAATCCTGCAATTCTTATTCTCATAAGGAAAAGAAAATCACCACTTAGACAGGCGCTCGACCATAATCCCAAATTGCTACTTTCCTTTTGATAATCAAGTAAATGCAGACCTAGTAATAAAATAGTGTCTATCAAATTCAGTTTTCATTTCAATCCCTAAGAACCAAAGAAGAGAAAGTACCTAGCAAATTCCATGGTCACTACCACTGAAAATTCCATGTTTGGCTTGATATTTTCTCTAGGAAGCAAAAGAGTAACGCAAACTTTCTTTTTACTTTCTTGAGGAAGGGTATTTATTTAAATAATCACTTTCGTAAGTAGAGGTTTTAGATTTCAATCATGGCACCGCATCAACAAAGTGAGAAATACAAATAGAGTTAAACCTAACCAATTAAAAAAGTAAAACAATTCATAGTGAAATTAGAAGATTAATAAACGTACTGGGATTAGTTTAAATGTTAAGAGAGATTTGAATGACGATGAAAATGTAGATTTTAATCTTTTTAACTATTTCAATACAAACAATTGCATGCCAAGCAAGCCTCCAAATTTGCCCTCAAGGATGGAGTAAGGGCAGATGCATCTTCAAATTAAATATGGAAAAAAATCACACAAAATTTATTCCTTTAAACTTATAACCTATAATTTAAAACGTGATATTATCACATATTAGTAATTCATTAATCTCATACTTTTATTGTTAAAAAAAAAAACTAATCCCATGCTTTTGTGATAATCCATTATATTATTTAATAGATTACATATGATAATATCATACGTTAAATAATAAATTATAAGTTTAGAACAACAAGCTGGGGAGATTTGTCTCTATATTTAGTTAGAGGGTGGTTTGGTCCGTACTCCCAAACTTGAGGGCAAATTTGGGGTTTCAACCCTACATGTGAGAACTATGAGTAGGTAATATCATATTTCAAGAGTTGTATTTTAATTAGTAAGAGAGTTTATTTTCTACATTCTTTATCAAAATTTGATTCTCTAAAAAACCTTATGAGAAGGTAGTTACTCATAAATTATTTATTCTTATTTCATTTCAAAATACATACAAATTGGTACGGCTAAAAAACCTATTTCATTTCAAACAATTGCAACAAGTTACATCAGCCATGGCATATGGTCTTTGATTGTGAATGGAGTTATTTAGTGCATTTATAGGATTAGTTAAGTTAAACTATCGTTATAAAAAATTACTGTCTTTGTTTGGTTTGATTGTTATGTTAAGCTTCTTTTGATAACATTTTAGGTCTTTTAATTTTCAGTTTTTTTATTATTTTAAAAGTATATAAAATATTAATTATAATAAATATTAAATATATTAAATATATTTTATATATTTTTAAAATGTTAAAAAACTAAAATATTTATAACTACAATTACATATCAACACTATTAAATTAAATTTTAATTAATAACTAATAAAAAAATTATTTTTAATACTAAAAGAAACCTTACTCAATAAGATAATAGGCAAACTCTTGCCGACCAAGTTACAGTGTTTGGGTAAAGTTCCTATTTTTATTGAGCATTTATCATGTTTCTAAGAAAAGATTTCAACTTTACCCTCAGATTTCGTTGAATCAGAGGTTGAGATAAAGTCAGTCACCATAGTTTCGAAGCAGGTGACGTGCAAACTTACTCAGAGTATAAATAGATAGGTTGGGTAGTCATAATTTTCTTCATTCACCATCCTAGAGGCACACCACCCCATCGCATTGTAAAACGGACAGATATAGGGAGTAGAGACTAGAGAGTCACCTCTTCCCTTAGAAAACACAAATAAAGCAAACAAAAGGTGAAAAAAAAAAATCCAAATTCCCATCCTTTTTTCTTTCTATAATCATCATCCTTCAAAAAATCCCAATCAACAATCCATTTTTTCAAACCCCTTGGATGATATACCAGATACCCACTTCCTTACTCTTGAACTTGATCTGAAATTTGCTGTTTTTGGTTCAGAAAACCTGTAGGTCTGCTTATTTATTGATAGATGCAGATGGGATTTCAGGCATTCTGGGTCTTCCTGATATGTAATTTTCATCTGTGTGTTATATCACCTCGATCTGTAATGATCATGTATTGTAGAATGAAGATAAATTTGTTAAATTTGTGGTTCTGCTTTGTTATTTCTGGATACCCTTTTTCTTCTTTTTGTTGCCTGATCGAGTGTGCTTGTCAATTGGATTATCTGATGATGATTTTCCCGATCTGGGTATGGGGAAAGGATAGTTTTTTCCTCCATTTTTCCCAGGTTGTTTGAGCACATGTGCTCAGAGTAATAGATATCCCCTGTTTTTGGGGTGTGAGGGGTGGATATTGATTCTGCTTGGTTGGTTCATTTTGATCGGGTCAATCTGACCTTGCTGTGTGGAAATGGGTTTACATGAACAACAGTGTCGCTTCTGATATGGAAATTCTTCTCTCTGGGTTTCTTTTGAGTGTGGAATATCCCTTTCATGGGGGAGTAGTATTCTTCTCTTCAAAGCTTTCTTCTTCCTGTGCAACTTCAAAATTCCCACGTTTATTCCATTCTTTCTATGTTTCCTGTTTCTCTGGCCTATAATTTCTGCCCATCTTTGCAATTCGTATCGTCTAAGCTGTGTTTGTTTTTGGTTTTGGCAAAGAATAACCAAATGATCTAACCAAAAATGTGTTTGGTTTCTATAACATTGGATTCTTTAGTAAAATGAATAGATTGTTGAATGATCATCTCAGCATATCATTTTTTGTTTTTGGTGCAAAACAGTTTTCTCTTTGGGACACAAGGAGTTTTGATGTATATATGTTTTCATCTGTAGGTTTGAGACTTGAAGTTTGCTGATCAAAATTTGCATATAAGGTAGATATTTTGCATGAGGTTCTCAGTAACTAATAAGTTGAAGTTTAGGCTTTAGGTGTTGTGTTGTTGGATCATTAGAGAGTATTGTAGTTGATTTCTGCTTGGATTTTTGTCATTGTGCTAGAAATCTAGGCTATCTCCTTTGCCAAGTTTGGGCACTGCAGAACTTGGGCAGTGCCTATGGATGCAACAACTAGCGGAACCCCAATTATACAATACCATAACATACCTGATCAGCCAATTGCTACTATTGTAGCTCCTCCTGTAGCCACATTTCAACGACAAGTACGCCAGTGCTTTGGGAACTCAACACCAGGAGAATTCCCGTTGGCTGCTAGTCCTTCTATTGTCCTTCATGTCCTCACAGCTGGTAATTTGGATGCTCAAGATCTTGCAAAATTAGAGGCAAGTGGCATTTTTCTTGATCATTATTAAAATGAAGCCCTTTTAAATGTTGAAGTGATAGTCCTGCTGATTTGATTTTGTATGGAGGTGTGATGCAGGCAACATGCTCCTTCTTTAGGCGGCCAGCAAACTTTGCCCCTGACTATGAATTGTCCATATCGGAGCTTGTTGCTCTTGACATGTGTCAAGAGAGGGCTATATTTAAGCCAATGACCGAAGAAGAGCGTCAACATTTGAAACAAAGATGTGGGGGTTCATGGAAATTGGTCCTCAGGTTTCTGCTGGCTGGAGAAACATGTTTCAGGAGGGAGAAATCACAAGCAATTGCAGGTCCGGGTCACAGCATTGCTGTGACATCAAAGGGAGTAGTTTACTCTTTTGGCTCTAATAGTTCAGGACAGCTTGGACATGGCAACACTGAAGAGGACTGGCGGCCCCAGGCAATCAGGTTACTAAATTTTCATCTCTGCTTTGACCCAATACTGTAAATGCAAGAAAATGAAAAGAAAACTAGTTAATGGAACTCCATTCTGTTGCAGATCTCTGCAAGAAATTCGTATTATCCAAGCTGCTGCAGGGGCTGGCAGAACAATGCTGATTAGTGATGCTGGGAAAGTTTATGCCTTCGGAAAGGACTCCTTTGGTGAAATTGAATATGGTGTTCAAGGATCTAAACTTGTCACCACGCCACAGCTTGTTGAATCTCTGAAAGGCATATTTGTGGTACAAGCTGCTATTGGGAATTTCTTCACCGCCGTACTGTCTAGAGAGGGCAGGGTTTATACATTTTCTTGGGGTGATGATGGCAGGCTTGGTCACTCAACTGAGCCAAATGATGTTGAACCCCATCCTTTGCTGGGAGCATTGGAGAACATACAAGTAGTACAAATTGCTGCTGGATACTGCTACCTTCTTTGTCTAGCGTGTGAACTTGATGGCCGCATGTAAGTTCATCCGTTTTTAAGTTCCTTTGGGATGCCAACGATTTTTCAATGTAGTATAGTGATCTTAAAATATTTGAAGATTTCAATTAAGTTAAGAAGCCATTTTGAATTTTTTTTGATTTGGCAGCATACTTAACTCTGTTTCCAAATTGCATTGATTAAAATTCTGTTTTAATTAGCTCAATTTTCAATATCTGATTTACCTTTTCTGTTCATCATTATAATTGACACAGCCCTATTTGGGGTTAATGATTCCAGGATCTCAGACTGCATTTTTTTTTTTTTCATATTACCTTACAAAAACCATGCATCATCATTTGATAAAATAAATTAACTATGTATCAAAATGAAAACTCAACTGTGTGCACTATTTGTGGTAATGGCAGGTCAGTCTACTCTGTTGGGTGTGGCTTGGGAGGGAAACTAGGACATGGATCAAGAACTGATGAGAAATACCCACGTCGTATTGAACAATTTCAGAATATGAATCTCCAGCCAATGGTGGTTGCTGCTGGTGCTTGGCATGCAGCTGTGGTAGGTCGGGATGGACGAGTTTGCACTTGGGGTTGGGGTCGTTATGGATGCTTAGGCCATGGAAATGAAGAGTGTGAATCAGTTCCTAAGGTAGTGGAAGCATTAAGCAAGGTCAAAGCCATTCATGTTGCTACAGGGGATTACATTACCTTTGTGGTATCTGATGATGGTGATGTATACTCCTTTGGTTGTGGTGAATCTGCAAGTCTAGGACATAACACTGCTACTGATGGACAGGTATATCTTTCTTCTCCTTGTCTTTTTAGTTTCTTTGGTCGTTATTTTTGCTTAATTTTGTGAAAGATTGCTCCTAATTTCCTAAATGATGGATAAATCCTACATGATCCTTGAGGCTTAAAACTTGATTGTGCCTGAATACAATTGATGAGCTAAATTTACTCTAACGAGAGGATTAGTCAATTCAAATAATATAATTATGAAAATAAAGTATTATTCTACATAGACTGCAGGTTAATTAAGTACCAAAAATAACTAATTTTAATTTTATTTGATCAATTGAAATTAAATTATTTGAATAAAGTAATTAACTAAAACAATTACAGGAAAACTAAATTAACTTTGAGTAACATCAAAATCTAAAATTTTAAAGCATTTAATTTTACCATAACCAACTAATATAGAATTTAGATTAATATACTTTCAAGATATTTATTATGTGATAATGAGATTTCTTATCTTATTTGAAATATTTTTTCAAGTTATATCAAACATATCTTCATTTATTAATCCATTATAAATCCATTATATCTCTATGGGAATATAAATAGATAATGATGCATTATATTCTATGAAATTCTTTAGTTTACGTAGAAAATTAAGTTCACTTATCACTAATTTTATACGAATTAAGTTGGTCTCTCTGGTTTTCATTCAATTCATTGTATATATTACTAGAAGTTATTGCATAAAATTTATTATCGGTCTCAATTATGCTCTTCAAATCAATTTTAATGGTGATCAATAATTAAAAAACATTAAGAACAATAATATATACTCTATATAAAATAATAACCTTAAAAGTATAAAAATCATAAAACACTATAGTAAATTGATCAAGATACATCGTAATCTTAAATGGGTAAATTAGTTCATAATTAAAGAAAAGAAAATCAACAATCTTATGATAAATATACGGAATATCTAATATCATAGAATAAAATTTAAGGATAAGTAAAATCAAGGTTAAATCCCCATTTTGGTCCCTGAACTATTGTACGGACCCCGATTGGGTCCCTGAACTAAAGAAATCCCTGATTTAGTCCTTAAACTATTGTACGGACCCCTGATTTGGTCCCCACTGTTTATAATTTGGCCTAACTTGGTCCTTGAACTATTGTACAGACCCCCAATTTGGTCCTTACTGTTTACAATTTTGCCCCAATTTGGTCCCTGAGCTATTATTTAACAAAAAGACCAAGTTGGGGTTAAATTGGTAAACAGTATGGACCAAATTGGGCATCTGTACAATAGTTTAGGGACTAACTTGGGAGCCCGTACAATAGTTTAGGGATCAACTCAGGGGTCCATACAATAGTTCAAGGACCAAATTAGGGATTTCTTTAGTTTAGGGACCAAATCGGGGTCCGTATAATAGTTCAGGGACCAAAATAGAGGTTTAACCTAAAATCAATTTAAGGATATAAAATCATTTCAAGCATTAATCTTCTTTTATTGTTGAATCTCTCAGTCGTCTCTCTCTTGGTCTCCTCTACAAAGTCCTAAAACTGATTTTTGAATGGGAATTTATAAAGTTTAAGAAACTCTACAGAAAACAAGTAGGACGTGGCACAG